TAAAGTATGGTACTCCCAAGCCCAGTATCTTCCTAACTAAAGGGGTTTGGGTGCCTCTGTCTCCTGGTCATAAGTTACAGGAGGATCAGTGATGATGAGGCTTATGTGGCTTACCCTAAGGGTCCAAGTACCTNNAGCATCATATACTCTCCCAAATAGTAACCTACATACCTACTATCCGAAACCTCAGTACCTGATTATTGGGTCCTTTGGACCCTTGGGGTTACTAGAAGGCCTACTATATGCGTTGTGTACTACAAAAAATTAGGCCTCTGTCTCCTGGCGTCAACTAAAGGAGGGGAGGGGCTGGATGTAGGGAGGTCTCAGGGTTGCGAGACGTGATAATAAAGGTTGCTGTAAGGCTTACTATAGGGATAGCACCGTAAGGGCGATGGTTGCACGGCTTAAGTACGTGCGCATATATCCTAGAGGCTTGTCACACAACTGTTGTTGCAATGGACGCTACATCGTTGCAAAGGCCTCACACGCGGAGCCCCAAATCCCGCCGCCCCTGACCCTAAACTCTATATGCGAAAGGCCGCTAAACTACAACTTGGCTGGAGCCGCACGAGCTAGACACGAATAAGCGACGCAAGAGGCCGACAAAGCGAAAGCTTCGAGAGTCGAGTTGAAACCCTACATCCTCAAGCCCTGAACCCCTCAATCCTTAACCCCGACGGAGCTCCCAAACCAGTATGAGTATACATGTTGTGGCATGATATAATATGATTACAATTTAGCAAATGATATAACAGTATGATATCATGTAATATAAATAATCTAAACCAAACAAAAAGCATATGATTTGACATAGTATGTCATAATTAGGATCCTTTCAGAACTGAAGAACCCTAAACCCTAAACCCTAAACCCTAAACCCTAAACCCCTAAACCCCTAAACCCTAAACCCTGAAGGACCCTAAAACCCTTAGGGATCCTTGAAGAACCTCAACAAAGGCGTCTGATGCCTCCACTTGTGGGATTAGGGTTTAGGGTTTAGGTTCTGAGTGCCTCCACTTGTGGTATTTTGGTACAGCTGCCCTCGGCGTTGAACTCCCAGCCGTGGTAGGCGCACCTTCGGTGCTGGGCTTTTTTTTTGGGCTTGGACATGTTCAGGGTGGGTAGTTACCGTTTGAGGAGCCTTATAGAAGGTCTATATATCTTATAGAAGCCTTATAGAAGCCCTATATACCCTAAGCTCCCCAAACCCTAAACCCTAAACCCTAAATCCTAAACCTTAAACCCTAAAATCCGAAGCCTTATAGAAGCCCTATATACCCTAAACTCCCCACCTGTAGTTTCCTTTAGCTGGGGGTCTAAATTTAGGTCGAGGATTCCTTGAGGACTCCTTTAAGAGTCCTTTTCAGGATCCCTCTAAGGGCCTAGGTTTAGGGTCCAGGGTTGGGGTTCAGGGTTGAGGATTGAGGGTTTAGGGTTGAGGGTTTAGGGGTTTAGATTTAGGGTTTAGGGTTGAGGGCTTAGGGTTGAAGGCAGATAAGAAAGGGTGAGACGACGGATACCCGAGCGAAATACCGGGGCCTTGATACTCAGAATGTGGTTTGGGGGTACAATGCAGTCCAAGTTTAATGAGGAACCCAACTTGATAGTATCACTGATCACTCCGACACCTAAACCTAAACCGCTAAACCCTGAACCCTGAACCCCGAAACCTTTAACCTCTAAACCCTGAACCCCTAAACCTCTGAACCCTAAACCCTAAACCCTTAACCCCGAAACCTCTCAACCCTAAACCTCTAACCCCCCGGAGCAGGCGCAAAAAGAAGACAAGAACCGTCAGGAGAGCCTAACCTCCAAATGAAGTTCCTTGAAAGGGATCTACAAGGTTTATAGGGTTTAAGGTTTAAGGTTCGGGGGTGTGGGGGTCTGGGGGTTCAGGGATTAAGGCTTATATGGTTTAGGAATCTAAGCCTCCATACAGCTTACCTATAGTCTCCATTGTACTTCCTTTGTTTGATAACCAACTTGTTGGTTAGGATCCTGTCATATAAATGTGGTTCACCCCCCAAAAAAAGGAACTACAATGGAGACTGTAGGTATAGGGCTCAGGGGCTTCAGGGTTCAGGAGTTTAGGGCTTGGGGGGTTTAGGGGCTTCGAGGTTTAGGAGCGGAGTTTTGGTCTTTAAGGGTTTAGGGGTTTAGGGGTTCGGGGTTTAGGGTTCAGGGGAGGTCCTTAAGCAGACGCTGTAGAAAACATCAAGAGCTGCAGGGGAATTGAAGAGGCGAAAGGCCGAAAACCCAAACACACTGGAGCCCTGAACCCTAAACCCTAAACCCTAAACCCTAAACCCCTAAACCCCTAAACCCCTAAACCCCTGAACCCCTAAACCCCTAAACCCCTAAACCCCTAAACCGAACATCTAATCCCCCGAAAAACTGACCGCCCAAATCCCTCAAACCCTCATCCTCTGAAGTCTGAAGGCGCAAGCATAGAGACCTCGATCCGGTTTAGGGTTTGGGGCTTAGGGTTTAGGGCTTAGTGTTTAGGGGTTTAGGAATTTAGGGTTTCTAAAGCGTTGCTCAGCCGTACCTTGCTCACCTTAAGCACAGTTTCTGTAAGCCACCTAATGCCAAAAGACGTTCTGTCAATGGCCTAGTTTACCAGTTCTACACAGCACTACACAGTCCTAAAAACACAAAAGGCACCGGCATACGGGTTGTCTCGGTGCATCCAACCAGCTGAGGTTCCTTGTCTGCGTCGAAGCCGGAGTCGCCATAGGCTTGGATGTACTTGCGAAAGATGTCCTCGGCCATGTCACTGGCTTTGATGCGAAGCGCTGTCACAACAAAGACCAGCATGTCATATTCAGTGACCAACACGTCGCTGTCATCGGTGTTTGTGTCGGGCTCTGCAAAGAGACAGGTGTATCGCAGCAAAGCCTCCAAGTTCCATTTCCGGAGCTTGTCCTCCGGAAAGTTCAGTGGCACTGGTCAACAAAAGCCCAAAACCCTAAACCCGAAAACCTGAAACCCTGAAACCCTAAACCCTAAACCCCAAAACCCAAAACCCAAAACCCTAAACCCTAAACCCGGAATCCCCTAACCGAAAGGCCCCAAATCCTAAAACCCCCCAAAGAAGTAACCTCTCCTTTTAAGTCCGAGGCACTGGAGGCAACCCGTCTTCGGCTCGATTCTTCCTTCGGAGAGAGGCGCCAAGCGGTGCGCGCAGGCGTCCAGCATGACCTTTTTCGGTAGTAGGCTTGGGGCTTGGTGTTCCTTTAAACGGACTCTGAGGGTGACGGTTTAGGGTTTAGGGTTTGAGGTTTGGGTTTAGGG